CCAAAAAAGGGTAAAATTTTTCAGTTTAGACAATTGATGGGTTCTCTGTCATCACGGCCGACAGGAAGATTGGAGCCAGACTGTAGACAGAACACGAGGAGCTCAAGGAAATAACTAAAAACTGAATTTTATAACAAAACCAAAACGCTGACGTGGCAGAAAATCTACTCACAAAACAACTGAAAAGGTGCACAAGGAACACAAGGAGCACCAGAACTGTGGCATGAAAGGCAATAATGCTCTGCTGACGGGATGAGGGACGCAGACAGAGCAGATAGGCTGGGACTGATGAGAGGAGAGGCTGCAGCTGTGACAGGGGAGCAGGGAGCAGGTGGAGATGGGCGTGGCAGGCGGAGGAGCAGAGTCAACAGGACTAAACCTAAAGATCACAAAATATTAAATAAATCTAATCCTAAAACAGAAAACTGTAAACAAAAACAAATCCTGATAATCCATTGTGAGTGAAATGTGGGTCTGTGATGTTTGCAAACCGTTGTTTTCTGTTTTTAATTTACATTTTGCACAAAGTCTGTTGGGATCAGGGTTGTAGCTCAAGTGGAACGAAAATGCATCTTTCTTGATTTTCACACCCACTGTGTCATCTTTAATGGGCGTGGACGTTTGGTTGATTTGGATCTAGTGCCTCATAAATTTAACACAATTAATCTTTAAAATCAAAACAGTAATTGGCTTGAATTAACAATAGATGAGCTAGATTTACCACCAGCTGCTGATCATTTAAAATAATCTTAGATGACTGCAATGATAAATTATTACACAGACAGTGTGCGTTATCATTTTCATTGATTTTATGTACAGTTATTTGATTAAAAAGTTCATTTTTAATATGTTTTATTAAAGCTGACATGTACACTTATAAACTTAAAATTCTGAGATAATTAGCACACAAACCCCCGCCGCCTAAAGTTCTGACTTCCCCCTCTGTGGTATTGTTAACAAGATAATGTTGGATTAGTAACGTTCCAGTTTAATTTAACATTTAGCCACAATTCACTTAAATTTTTTTAGTTTCTCATGTTTTAATTTAAAACTGACATGCAGGAGGATCGTACGTGGCACGAAAACCTAAAATAAAGTTGACTGGAGGTACAGACAAGCACTGATGAATGAGTGGAGACACCTGGGCACAATGGCAACCGGGAACAGGTGAGAGTGGGCGGGGCAGGAGCTGAGAAACACTGATGGACTGAGAGTAAAATGGCTGATGGCACCAAAACTAATGAAAAGAACAAACGGAGGATAAATAGTATTTACAGAACAGGACAGATTTATGAGGACAAAACAAGGAGTTGACCAAAGCAAAAATAAAACATTAACTGGGACAATGTGCAAAACACAAAGAAACAGAAGATGAGGAGTGATGATTACAAACACAATACAATACAGCATATTACAACATGTTACAATATGACAGGAAATGATACCACACATTATGATACGACACAATACAACATGATACAAGACAATATAACATGACAGGACACAATAAAACATGACTCGACACAAGTTAACATGACTCGACGCAATATAAAATGACTTGACACAATATAACATGACTTGACACAAGATAACATGACTCAGCACAATATAAAATGACTCGACACAATATTAAATGACTCGACACAAAATAACATGATAGGACACAATATAACATGATTTGACGC